AACATTTAGAAAAGGCGAAGGCATACATTCAAAAGAAAAAACAAGGGCATGCATTCAAAGAAAAACGGTCAAAGGAAACATATTATATACCAAAAGCCCGAAGGCATGTACTCATTCATCTAATAAAGGAAAATCCAAATGTATGTTACAAGAGGGCCGAAGCCAATAAGTACAATCGGGTGTGATTACAAATCGGGAGGGAATACATTTCACGAAGGGGGGGCTGTAGAAACTGCCTCACTCTCGGCCTCATCCCCATCACCCACGAGGCCGCACTCCCTCAGGGTCTCTGAATCTTCGAGCACTGACCTCTCTTCTCCTTCGGGGAGCGGGATCCTGACGTCTGGCTGACGAGGGGGGAGGCCATAAGCCTCGGGATGGAACTCCTCCGGTGCGATCTTGAAATGTCTCGCAAGCTTCCGGTAAATGAGGCGCTGAGTGAAGAACTCCCCGCCTTGGTAGTAGGAGTCGCCCCTCTCAGCAAGCCACATCTTGCCGGGGCCTCCAACCCATTCGTCCACCGAAGCCCCCACCACCGAAGAGAGCCACTCCTTCCGATCTTCAGCCTTCCATCCCTCGGCAGTGAAGCTGGACACCGCATCCTCCCGGGCTCTAGAGACGGCCTCTTCTTGAGCCGCGCGGGCTTCATCAGCAGCAATGCGGGCGGCCTCGGCAGCAGCCTGCCCGGCCCTGGCCAGGCCTTCATTCACCCCTTCGGCCCTCGCAGCTTGCACCCGCTACTCCATGCCATCGGTAGCCAGGCGAAGAGAGTCCTCAGCCTCGGCAAGTTTCTTCCTGAGGAGGGCGGCCTCCCCTTCGGCTGCGCCTTTCGCCTCCCTTATTTGCTCCACCCTCCGGAGGTGCTCGCAGAGGCCCATGAAGCTCTACAATTCACAAAGGCGAAAATGAGACACGATGAACACATTACAAAAAAAAAACAACAACAATGAACAAGGAAAGGATAGGTATGACTTACAGAGGCAGTGTTCAGAAGGATCTTCGCCTCGAGGGACCCCTCGTCCAACCTGGCGAGGGCCAAGCGGTCAGCCGATGGCAGCATCTGGCTCATCAGTGCCGAAGGGTTCAGGCTGCCCTCCAGTACAGAAGCCCCCTTCGGCACTATCGCCTCCAGTTTCTCCCGCCCAAAAAACTCCTGATTGATGTGCTCCTGGGAGGTGGGGGCAGAGGCGTGCCCTTCATCCACAATTACAACCACATCGGTGGTTGGCTGCTTTGCAGGGGCGGCGGTCTTTACCTTCTTTGCCGAGGGCTCGGTCCCCTTGCCATTATTCTTCTTCTTCGCGGGCCCGGCACCTCGGGACCCCCCGGCGCCAGCACCGGCGGCAGACGCTTGGGAGGGCTCCTCCCTGGCAGAAGTGCCCGCCGGGGCCTTCTTCTTCCCCTTCGCATTCTTTAAGGCGAAGAGAGAGCCTACGTCCATGTTATTACCTGCAAGAAAAAGACACAGAATGGTTAAACCGAAGGGTGTCAGTTACAATAGCATAAAAAAAGGGGGGAATGTATGAAGGAAAACTATCAAGGTACAAATGAACCCTTCGATAATCACCTCCGGCTCCTTCGAAGACTCGATCGAGGGGAGGGTATCTTTCATCCGAAGAACCCCTCGGCCTGAACTGCCGGAAGCCAAGGCTAAGCAATTCCTCGGGGAGAGTGACGTCCTTAATCTTGACGTGTTTATCAGACCCCTCATCTTCTTCTTCTTCCCGGGAGCCACGCTGATGGGCGTCGGGTTCAATGGCCGGGAGGAGCTAGATTCCCCGGCACCACGAGGGGGAAGAACGGCAACCGTCACCTTCGTCCTCTCCCTCTCCTCTTCCTCTTCGGCAGTCTGCACGGCAAGGGCGAGCTCTTCGTCCTCATTTACTTGCTCGAAGTCTTCGGCTTCGACTTCGGCCTGGAGGTCTTTCTCCACCTCCATGGCCACAGCAGCATCACCACCCACCGAGGACTCCCCGCTCGAAGACTCGACGTCTGAGTACGTCTCCATCTCGACTGAAGGCTCCCCCGAGATATCCTGGGAGTCACTTTGTGAAGACATCTTCCCACTAGGCCGAGGGCTCGGAAATGCTAAGTATTCTAAAGTTCTAACTCCTAGCCTAAAGGCACAGGGCACAGCTAACTAGGAGGAGAAGAGCAGGGGGGGAACTAACCTTAAAAGCTGGGAATCAACCGAAGGCTGGATTTTCTCTCTCTAGAAAATTGGGCAGAGCTTCGCTACAATGATTTCGGCTGGGGGAAGGGAAGCCGGCCATGGGGTATTTATAGGCGCTGGGATCCGAGCTTGGGCCTAGAAACCGGGCCTCCGGTTGGACTGCCATCATCACGAACCGTGGTTTCGCCCAATCAGTGACACCCGCCCACGGACAGCCAACGAGCACACACCACGTGGCAACCCCCCCAACGGCTATATTCTGACGTTAGGTATTCCAACGGCTATATTTCCAACGGCTATATTCTGGGAGCTCCCGGCTAAACTTGACAAACCACTCCTTCATCAACCAAGAAACACTGGCCCCCGGGCTTTTTACTTCACTCCACTTCATCAAGAAGAGCCCCCGGGTACACTTACCCGGAGACACTCCCAGTTTGTGCCCCACACGCTACATAACAGATGCCTTCGGGATCACTCCTTCAGAAGCCCAAGGCTTCATATCAGGCCACCCCTCGGGGATCCCCCCTTAGCACCTTTAGGGCCGGGTAGCCCCCGGGGAGTATGCCTCATTGACGGATAGCCTACGGCACACAGGTAATGGGAGCCATCGGGTATCCTCATCACCGACTAATCAACAAACATGGGACACCCCAGTAACACTTCAACTACTACCCTCATTCATTACGCCCTCGATCCACAGATTGAGGGACTCCCCTTCGGCACCTCCCAGGATATCAAAAGCAAGCCTCCGGCTAATCAACACATGAGCCCTCAGAACAAGGAAAGCCTTCGGCATCAGCATTGCACTCCATTTCAGACCAGGGCTTCACGTTTTCGATTCATCATTGGGGGAATTCGGTGCACTCTTTTTCCCTCATTAGGATTTTTTCCCACAGGGTTTTTCCTAATGAGGTTTTTAACGAGGCATCCCCCCAAAATGAAACGAAAAGCGTCAGCCTTCGGCCCAAAACAGCAACGCAACTACTCTACTCCTTTTCACCACTTTGCAAGTGCCTCAAGGAGTGGGGGACTGGAGGACCCCCTCGGGAAAAATCACAAAAATCACAAACATGACCCCTCAAGTCCCGACATGTGGGTAACTGAGGGACTGCCCTCGGCAGAATAAACAAACAGCAAACTACCCACAACTCTACAAACTACAAACGGAACAACGGCAGAGGACAAACACAATTACTCCTTTTCCCTCAAGTACCTTTCGGCAAAAGGAGTGAGGGACTCCTGATGGAGTATATGGCCCGGGAACCCCCGGCCCACAGGAAATGGAGCCTTCGGCTAGCCAAGGGGGTCCCCGGTACTCAGAGCCCTCGGCTAGCCATCTACTGCCGAGGGCGCCTTTTCCGACATAATATCCGCTCCACATGCGTATGGATCACCGTACCCGGTACAACGTCCCATCCAACAGCCGCATTAAATGCGGCCACATGCGGTTGCCAGCGCCAACCAGTTGAGGTGACCTCTCGGCCAATGGACGCTTGACACGTGTCCCTGTCTGGCATTTATTGCTACTATAAATAGCACCCCATTTCCTCGTTGTAAACCACACAAAAAGACACTGATATACTTTCTAAGATACTTTCTCTCTCTATACACATTTGCTCTGCCTTCTCTCTTGTTATTCCCCGTAATAACCCCTCAGATAAGCTACCCACGGGTACACTATCCATCAGAAACCATATATCAAACAATATATGGAACATCAAGCTCATCAATCTTAATGGACCCACCAAGCCCATTGGGAATTAAATCTCCCACTCGCCTCCGTCGGGATGGCGGTGAGCCGGCATCGATCTTAGCGGACTGCAGTTGGAGAGTGAAGGACTTCAGGGAAGGATAAGAGCTCCGAACTCTTCTAGCGATAGACAACATGAAGAAGAAGAAGCTCGTAGTTTTCCCAGGGTTTAGTGCACAGGATTATTCTCCGGGCGATTAATCCCCTGTGAAACAAACAGTAGGGCATATACTCATTTCCGACTAAAGAGGGAGTTGAAATTGAACGCCTCAGAAACTAGGGATGTAAAAAAAAACCGACCCGCAGTGACCCGCTCTGGCCCGAGACATTTGGGGCAGGTCTGGCCTGGGCCGTCTTCCAAATGGGGCGGGTCCGCCCCGCCCCGCCTATACAATGGGGCGGGTCCGGGTATTAGTATTGACCCGTGCCGCCCTGACCCTCCCCGACCCGACCCGCTCAATACATAAACATACATATTTTTTCTTAAATTATACTACAAATATACTTCAACATACATATGTGTGTTTGCAATAAATCATAAATTCTTTGATCTTATAATATATTAATACATATATTAGAATGAGATGAACGACAGATTATCAATGTCTTCTTTATATATAGTATTTTAATACATATGTTCAATTATTAGTATAATTTAATAGATTAATTATTCAAGTCTGAGTAACTTTTTCTTAATTTTTGAAATTTTTAGGGTATCATGAATTTGATTTAATATATTAATTTTTAATTATTATTTAGAGATAAACTTTATGTAGATTCATTTGATAACAACTTGTCACAAATAAAAATACATACTAGCTAATTAGGTTACGGCAGGGCAGGGCGGGGTGGGGCGGACCCGCCCCGCCTTGGGTGGGTCATGGGTCAAAAGGTGGACCCATGCAGGTCACGGGCGCCCCGCCAAGTCACGGGGCGAACCTGTCCCGCCAAGTCACGGGGCGGGTCTGGGTCTTGCAGTACCCGCCCGCCCCGCCCGACCCGACCCGACCCGACCCATTGCCATGCCTATCAGAAACTACAGGGACTTAAGTCACTTAACTGCAATTGTTTCTCTATACCTCTATACAGCATACACAATCCCAACAAACAAAACGGCGCCGTTTTCGATTCGTTCCCGCTTTGCTCTTGTCCCCTTTGCATAACCGCAGACGACACTAGAGAAAGCACGTTAAATTCGCCGGCCGCCGGAGTTGGAGTAGAGAGTAGCTATGTGCGGTCGAACTCGCTGTACTCTTCGAGTGGATGATTTCCCTCATGCATGCCACGTCTCTTCGACCGGTAACTATAACCAACTTGTCTTCTATACATATACTGGGTATTTTAGTAGTTAATTCTCTTTACTCGAGTAAGTGAATTACAGATATACTTCACTAAGTGAAGTACATCTGTAAGAATTCTGACTTGTATAAGTTATTTGTAGACGGGAAGATGATTCACGGTTTGATTTTCGATGAAATTTTAGGTATCGGCCGTCGTATAATTTGTCACCAGGCTTCAATGTTCCGGTTGTTCGGCGAGAAGAAAATCCAAATGAAGACGGTGTTGTTGTCCACTGCATGAAATGGGGTCTAATTCCCAGTTTTACTAAGCAGAACAAAAAGCCTGATCACTACAAAATGGTAACCGCCATTATTGTCCTGGGTACTCTAGTTTTCAGGAACTTTTCCTAGGAGTAAATCATAAAGCTTTTCCCTAATTAGGAGTTCACATCTAATCTTCCCTAAATAGGAGTAAACAATAATTTTCTACCCCTAATCTAATTAATACGGAGTATAATTAATTGTCCCCTAGTTCCCTTGGATAACCGGGCAGTCTGTTGGCAGCATGGGAGTCTGGTGGTGATGGTGGAGGAGGAGGAGGAGGAGGCAGAGGCAGGTGCACAGGGTGAAAATATGTTTTTTTTGTACCCCAGAGCACCGGCGGCAGAGACAGTCTCTGTGCGGCGGGAATTTGGATGTCAGTGCCGGCAGCAGTCAGGTGGCGCTGGTACTGTAGCAGTGGGCAGTGGGTGCCTAATATTGCAGGGGTATTCGTATCCAATCACAAAAAACTCCTATTTTGGGATTTTTTAACTACTACACCTATTTTTGCCCTTTAATCGTGTTTTACTCCTAGGGAATTAACTCTTTGAGAAATCGAAAAGAATTAGAAAACTGTTCTCTGTATTTACGAATTCTGCATTTGCTCTTGAATACCGTATGTAGTTATTGTATTACTCCGTACATGACATCTATGATTGGAATAGTTAATAACACGCAAATGAAATGTAGTTCAATGCTCGATCGGAATCTATTAAAGAGAAGGCTTCTTTTCGCCGTCTCCTTCCTAAAAACAGGTGCCTTGTTGCAGTGGAGGGGTAAGTGCATTCTGTTTTATGTATCTGTTTTGGGTGAGTTGGTTGATTTAACAAAGGGTTGGAGAAAATCATCAAATATTTTATACAGTAATATAAAATATTTGACATCTCAACACCTCAATATTATGATCAAGATCCTGTTTTTCTCCATTGTGCTCTGCTATGAATGAATGGTTACTTAAAGCATATGGTTACTATGCTCAGGTTTTATGAATGGAAAAAAGATGGGTCGAAAAAGCAACCTTTCTATATACATTTGAAGGATGTTCGGCCACTTGTATTTGCTGCTCTTTATGACTCTTGGAAGAATGGGGAAGGTGAATCATCATATTCTTTCATTATCTAATGGGCTATTGTGCAAAACAATTTTCTTGTGATTAGTTGTTTTGATTTGTAAGTACTTTGTAGTGTATTTCAAATCTTGGTTTCATAGGTGATGTGCTTTTATGGGCGGCATCCATTCTATTCCCTCTTCTGGTATTGAAAGAAACCTCAACTTTTCGGTATACTATGTAAGCTATTTTTCTGTCTTTCATGCAGAAGAAGTTATTTACACATTCACTATTGTGACTACTTCGTCCTCATCATCTTTGCGATGGCTCCATGGTTAGTTACTGCATCTCCATACTTCACCCTATTGTTGTGAAGGAATGCATTTCTCCAAGTTCTAAACCTCATAGTCGGTAACTTGGTATAATGGCATGTTCTTATTTAGATACGCAAACCTGTATCAATTTCCAAACCTGCACGATTAATCATTACACCCCTAAAAGGCTCCCATGTTGATTTTTGCTTTGGTTTTGATCCCACAACTGTGCTCTCACTTTGTTGGTGACTTGAAAAAATTACTATGTTGATGCACGAGTTTTATCATCTGTTGTCCTTCAGAGCATATTTCTTTGTCTGTTTGGTCGAAAGTATTATCGGAAGGGCTATTTATAGAAGAAGAAGCAAGTGTAATAATGTTGAATATGAGGACTGTAAGTGATTGAGACAAAAAGAAAAGACATGACAAAAATTAATATATGGAGTACTATCTACTTGTTTTCTTTTCTTTTTGTGAGGTGAATACACACGTACTATTTTAACTTGATAACTGCCACGACTTTCCATGCAAACCTAAATATATTGTAGACAGGATGCCTGTGATATTTGGCAACAATGAGACATCTGACTTATGATGTTAGCAAGTCAACTAGTGTTGGGAGACCAAAAAAGAAAGCCACAATTGCCACTTGCCAGTGGAAAACAACCTACAATCTTTTCTTACATTGGAAGAAGTTAGTGTAAACGGTAAAGTATGTTCAAAGTTTTGGTTCTTGCTCATATGCCCCCTCATCTTCTTGTATTGTATGTATGGGGATGTGATGGTGAATCTTAACCAAAACTCATTTTGTTAACTTTTACGAAGTATCTGTCTGTAGGCACCATTTTATTACATTTAGTACTGATTAAAAAATGTACTCTGTACTAGGGAAGAGAAAGATGAAAATAGTAAGCACCATTTTGGTCTTTATACATTTGTAAGTCCCAAATAGAAGTGTAGTGCTTACAAAAATTTCCATGGAAGGGTAAAAAGAAGTTAACCAAAGATTTAAATTGCATATTGAGTAATCATGGTGTTTTTTTTAAAATTGCATTTGTTATGTCTAAACATCATTCTGCAATAAGCGGCTGAAGCATAAAATATATGTTCACATATACAAACACCATAAAAGTTAAACAACTTATTCATCAAAAGGCATACTAAGATAAAGTATAATGAGGCCATAAATGCTAGGATTCCTAGCCTAATATAACTTTTACTTTATCAGTTTGATGACTAATGAATTGAATCAAATTACTATCTAGTGTTTTAAAGGGCAGCCCAGTGCACGGAGGCATCCCTTCAAAGAAAGGGTCCGGGGAAGGGTCCCACCACAACTATAGAACACATTAGGTGTACAAATTAAAAAGTGGGTTGAATAAGCCCAAATAATCCCTTACACCCTGATCTCCCAGTGCATACCCTCCAAGCAACTTACTACGTATGCAATATGTGTATGCCTCGCTGCAATATTGTGCAATTACATTGCCTTTTTACCCCACAGTCCAGTGACTCCAGTTATCATTACATTGTGCAATTACAAACCATGAAGTGAACAAAGGTACAGTCTTCTGATATAGCATGGGAGCACAATTGAATTGATTATAAAGAGTAATGTTAACTTCTGTCTGATAGCTAGTTATCATCAGAAAAGGTAGCTTTTTATTTATTTATTTAGTGACATAATGGCTGCATCATTACCACACTGGTCTTGAATAAAATACAATAGCATTCAGCCATTTCTGCAGAGTATACCATTAACTATAGTTATGTACAGATTGCTTTTCCAATTGATATATGGGTAATATATATGCAGCATTTTCTTAACATTTGCGGCTACAAACTGCCAGTGCCAAAAATAAATCAATTGAACACAAAAGTACCCATTCTGGCTACGCAACATTACGCAATGTCCAAAAAACTGCAGAAATCAATAATAAAGTTTAAGGACACTACAACAACTTTTACAGTCTACAGATTTCAAGCACAGTTTATGTTTCTTCATCATTTTGCATCAGAAAACTTTGGTACCTGAGAGGATGGAACCAAGTGTACCCAACACTGCAAAAGCAAGAAGAGGACTAACATCCAGAGTATCAAAAATAGGGGGGATTATATTCCTGAAGAGATTCAAATATGGATCACAAAGATCTCTGATAGCGGACAGTGGTTGTCTTTCCCATGGTATATTTGGGAACCAACTGAGCAAAACCCTAATCATCAAAACACCACTGTATATATCAAGCCATTTACCCATCCCAGCAGCAATAACCGTGAACGGCGTGTTGACAGCAACAGTGGAGCTTTTTGCGGCGGCGAAAAACGCGGTCCCTGCAGAGCACACCATAGCCCCCCACCGGCATCCGTTCAGATGCAAACCAAGGTTGTGGGCTACGACTTTCGAGACTGCGATTGCGAGCGCGAGAAGTGTCGCGGCTGAGCGTGTTGACCCTGTGAGTGGCGACTCGGCGGTCAGCGAGTCTTCGCAGAGAATACGCGAAGAGGCGGAAACCGTAGGAAGCAAGTTGGAAACTCTGGTGGTGAGAATGGGAATTCGAGGGCGTGGAAGGTGGTTTTGAGAAGAAAGAACGACCGGGCAGAGATTGCGACGGTGATAACAATACAGAGGCGTTTGTAGAATTGTGGCTTGAGAAGCCATCAGAGAGGAAGCCATTGGATCTTCTGTTCAGATGAAAACGATGGCCGATTTAATTGAGGAAGAAGTACATAAATTTAAATATAAATGCCAAGTACCCTATCATTCAACCACAATCAAACATGTTGGTCATAAGAACAGATATTATAATATCTTTAGAAAAATGTTCCAAATATAAATATAAATATAAATATAAATATAAATATAAATATAAATATAAATATAAATATAAATATAAATACTCAGCTCTGTACGCACTTTGTGTGAATTTGTGCCCAATGTAGTGAAGTTGCAATGTGGTCTATGAAACCCGAATATAGCAGTTGTAAAGTTGTGAAGTTTTTGGATTTGACTTTGACAAAAACTATTATTTCCAAATTGATGTTAAATTAAAGTTAAGTCATTACTAGGTCAATATTTCCAAATTGACCGTCAAATATTTTTTGGAAGTTAACTGTGCTGGAAAATACATATAAAACGTAGTTACCTTTCAAAAATTATTTGATGACCTTCCTGATTGAACTTTTAGCTGAAGTTTTGTGTGGATAAACTAGACCTGATGAAAAATATGCCATAAAAATATAAAAATTTCATCGAGAAAGTAGACCGGGAAGGCGACCAAACGCCGCCGTCCGGACGGAGGTTCCTGTCCGGAATTCCGAGTAGTGGATGAGGAAAAGGAAAAAGGAAAACAGTGCAGTGTGATTGTTCCGAGTAGTGCACTGGAAAAGGAATGCAACACATTAATTTCATGTGAATGGTGCATAGCATTCAAGCATGGGTAACAATGTGAGTGCAAGATTGGCTGCCAATTTCGTATGTATGGTTTCTGCGAGGTGGTTCTTCAACGCCACATGCTGAAATGACAAGGAGGCTAACTCTGCCATGACCATTTCTGAAAAATGCTAGGCTGGAAGTTGGGTCAATGTGGAAAGTGGTTTGAATTTCTTGCAATAGGTCAGCCTCACGACCCAAAAAATGGTCATCTTCTTGGTCGTGCAAGATGAGTACGCGACCTCTTTGGTCGCAACAGATGTTGAGAAATGCCTCACAAGTTGACTGTATTTAATAACATCAATAAGGTTTGATCCAACAGAAGACAATTCTAATTGTTAATGAACACAAAGAGAGCTTACCGCAGGCATTTTTGTGGGTACGTACAGAAATGATGGGGCTTGGAACAATTCCCTGTAGGACCAATTTGTAAACGCATATTGGACATATACAAAGAAGTGATCTGCATTGCAAGTAAAATAGAAGGCAAAACAAAAATTTGTAATTAATTGGAGTTAAGAAGTTTGGTAAAAGAAAAGCAGTAATGAATATTTAGGAAATACGCAATATACCCCCAATAAGTGTAGGATTAAAGACAACATTGGGTGGAGGACCCACATTCCTGGAGAAGCTCTGTGTGTCAAACATGAGGGCGTCAAATGTGAAATTTCCAATGTGTCAGAAAAGAACGTAGGTTTGAAACGGAATGTCCGTTTCCACCAGGAAATTAGCAAACTCCTCTCTGAAAGTGTAGGCTTCGATTGGCAGTTTCCAACTGGAATTTGCCCAGCGCAGCAAGGCCTCCGGCTTTGTGTGCTCGAATAAATGTCGGTGCATGCAAGGAGGTATTTGCTAAAGTAAAGAAAAGGAAAAACAGTATTCAGTCCACTGGGAGCAATCAGGCGTGGTAAAAATAAAAAAATATGAGTATATGGATTTAACCGCATCATCAAAGTCTTCGATGTCGAGCAGGCACCATACCAAAGAGAATTGCAACATGTCACGATAATGGATTGTGGTTGTCCTTGGACATGCTACACATGATGAAAACAAACATGAAAACATTTACGATGAACATAGTAGCGGAGCAACAAAATAAATAATAGGGGGGCTGATTTGAAGAACTAAAACAACTAATAGTGTAATCACCTGCAGGTGGAGGCAGCAGAAGACCATGCCTCAAGGAGAGAGTAATCTTGTGTTCAAGTTCAGACCTGTTTCTGAACTGTGTGTGCAGCAGGCTGTCAAAAAGTGATGTGTAGCTCAAAAAAGTGGTACTACATTTATGAATTAAAAAGAAACGATAAATAGCTTTAGCATCCGATGAATGAAGATGGTAACAGGCAAGGGTAGCAGCACTAACCATGATATTAGATGACAAAGCCCAGAAATGTCAACGAACAACGCGGATACACGAATGAATAGTAGTTACACATGAACAAAAAAAATCCTGAACCAAATGAAGTAAGGCACACTGGAGACGGACAGACGTAGGTAATGAAAAAGTTGGGGCAACGCAGCCAGAACACGGGTTATTTTGAATTCTGTTTTGGGGGAGTAAGGGTCGGCTACTATCACTACACCTATGAAGATGACTTTATGAGGAAATCAATGTCACAACAACGGTAGCTCTGTATGTATATGTTAATGACTGTACGGGTTCTGAAATACATTGAACATGCCACATCAAACATTATCGCTTAAAAAAATCATGGGTGGGAGTACCAAATACTTACAATTTCGGCAATTGAATTAGCTTAGTAGCAATACTTGTCACCAGCCAGAAGGGGAAAACATACATTCAAACACAAGCAAAGGTGGCAGTTATATTTGCAATTCAAGTAGTTTAAGATACCATACAACACAAATTACTAAAAGCCAATAACAATGCGAGGTGGGTGAAAGCACAGGACCTTTAAATTCATTTAACGAACTCAACGAAGAGTTCAACATGGTGGGCGAACAAGCACACAAACACAAATACAGTTTGGGCCTCTTAACCAAAACTACGCAACAAAAAACAGTGAAAACTGTTTACCATGACGTGGGGAGAAAAGTACAGCACTGTGTAACTACAAAGAGAGTTGAACCCAAAAAAAGGAATAAAATGTATATCTACTTTAGCCATGTGGTTATCATGATTTCAACTCATTTAAATACCAAAGAGCAGAGTTCAGCATGGCAGACACACTCTTGTGCAAATACAAAGAGCTTTGAACGAAGACAACAAGGGGAAAACTGTGTGAAATCGTGAACATTCATATAATGTACATGAAGTAAGGTTAGTCGATCCTAGAAAAAATACATCTTATATGTACCTTACGAAGACATCTTAAAAACTCCAGAAAACACAAAACAACATAATAAGGCACCAAACATGGTAGAAACAGCAGAAAAACCTCCCATCTAAACAAACACAACA